GCATAATACTAGAAGACCCCAAAAACTCCACCAAAAGACTTTCATATTTAATAAACAAATTAAGTTGTGTAACTGGACACAATGTCAGTTAAAAATTGATACCATTCTTATACACAAATAACAAACTCACTGAGAGAGAAATTAGGGAAACCACACCTTTTGCAATAGCATCAAAAAATGAAACACTTAGTAATTAACTGACAAAGTAAAAACATTCTGTGTTGAAAATTGCCGTACCAAAAAAAAAAAAAAAAAAAAAAGAGGTCAGAAGTTATCAGTAAATGGAATGATATGGTTTGCTCTTGGATAGAAAGAATCAAAGTATGGGTATACTGCTCAAATTTTTATACAGATTTAAGGCATATTCATTTTTATAGCAGTGCAATTCACAATTGCTAGACTATGGAAGGAGCCTCAATTAGCCTAAATTACAATAAATAAACTTAAAAATCAGTCCAAATTCAATGAAATTTAATCACTCTCAGACCAGAATATAAACTTTTAGCATTTTAATTCTTTTCACCTTTTTTGAAGCCATTGTCAGTGTTACACATTTTAAAATTATAAATTCCTAAAAATCAAAATCCAAAGTTTAAAATTTTTGAATAATAAAGTAAACCTTAGTGTAAATTACTTAGTGTAAATTGATAATGATGTATCAAACTATGTTCAATGACTAGGGCCAATGTTACACTCTGATATAGGAAGTCGATGATGAAGCTGCACTTCATTTTGACTGCAGGAATTACAGTGTGATTTTTATAATTTTGTTCATTTTTGGGTGAACTTTTAATTTTCCTAAGACATAAAGCCTTAAAAATTCAGTTTCATGAGATGTCATTATTATCACTTCCTATATTAAATTTTTATTTAGATTTACCCTCATTTTATTTGCTAACATCGTCACATCAATTTTTCTTCTAAGATCATTTTGTTTGCTTTTAGAAAATTGCTTCTTTCCTTCTCTTTTTGAGGGTTGTCTCTTTCTGTTTATTTTCGTTTGGCAATATTTTCCCTCTATGCTTTGCTTCACAGATATTTTCAGTGGAATTGGAATTATAAAGTAGTAGGCTTTAATTTTTTAGAAGAATAAATATATTATTCCATTTTTCTTTTGACTTCAATTGGTGCCAACAAGAGGCCAGATGTTTACACTTGCCATCCTTTAATGATCATATCTTATTTTAGAGTATATTAAAACTTTTTTCTATCATCAAACTTTTTTAACTTTGCCATTTTGCTGTGGAACAATAATGTGATAAAATTTGCATTACTTTTATTTTTCATTTATAGACTATATCTTCTGAATTTTTGAGCCTTTTTATAGAATGGAAAACTTATAAGCATACAATTTTTTCATTATTTAGAGAATACGCTACTAGTTTCTGAACTCAAACCCACATAGAAAAGACCTTAGGAATTTAATAAGAATAGAGTGAGGATTGTGTTTCCAATAAATGTGGAAAAATACTGGTTAGTATGCAATTAGGATTACATGTCATTCTTTATAAGTAACTATATATATATTGCATCACTGTATTCTTTTAAATGAAAAACAAAATGCTAAATCTATTACTTTTTTGGCTCTTCTAATGTCTCAAAATTTTTTTAAGATTTTAAATTTTAGTAGAAGTTAAATTCTTTCTACAAGTTTGATATTTAGATTGAATAACTGCCATTTTAGAGAAACAATAAAGAATACAATCACTTTAGCTGTCTGATAAGCATGCACAAAGTTAAAAATTAGATAAAGTTTGTCTTTATTTCAACATATTATTTCTAACACACACTTCTTTATAAATTCTATCTCTTTCATGGCTTCAGTGCTCACCAGGTCTCTCTCCTACTGAAATAAAAGTGATCTCTTACTGCCATATTTTACCCAGTCCATAATCATATTCCTCCACTGAGACCATTTTTTAAGAAGAAGTAGGTGAAAACCACATGAACACAAAAGGAAGTATTCCATTATTTAGGAATAATTAGACTTTGAACTTTGACACAACTGACCTTGAATATTGGTTCTCACAATGAAGTTTTGTGAGGGTAACATCCCACAGAATCAGCTTTTCCTTTAAATAAGAGAATAGTAATATAATGAAGAGTTCTTGTAAAGCACACATGAGAAAATACGTGTAACTATTCAATTTTACTATCTAGTATGAGACTTCAATTTTATAAAACAAAAAGTAAAATTGCTATGTGTGATTAAAGAGGACCACCAAGAATACTACAAAAAGATAATAATGAGTTTTGCCTTTTGTAATTAGTGGCAATAATACAATTTAATACCTGTATTTTGCTATACAAAACTCATTTAATTAAAGTAATTTCATGGGATATTTGCAGATTAGTAACTCTGATCGAGTGACTGAAGAGGTAATAAGTATTTACATTTCCAACTTTTTGAAGGAACAGCTTGATCATATTTATGGCTTGAATACAGAATATAAGTAAAAATGAATGAGTAACTGAGTGAATATAATTATTTTTATAATCTAGTTTTATGTTTGTCTCCTTTTGTCAGTTAGAATTTAAACTCTTCAATGGTAAGGGCTTTGCTCTTTATTTTTATTAGCACATATTTGGAGTATATAATGATTTATTTATTGTGGAGATTTCACACATAATATATTTTAATGAATTTTTTACCCCCCTACCCCTCTCAGTCTACCTTTCTGCTTCTTGCTGTACTTTCTCATTTGCTGAAGTTCTATTTCTGTTTTTTCCCTCCTATTATTTTTCCCATGTGCTTTCTTTCTCCTCTCTTCTACATCTCTTTTTCCCATTTTATTTGATAAAGATCTCTCTATTTCCTATTATATATATTTCATCTTGCTCTTTATTTATATTTTGGGTTTCTCATGTAAGGGAAACTGTGATATTTAAGTTTGTGTGTCTGATTTGTTTCACTTAATATTGTGGTCTCAATATGCATCTATTTACCTATGAATGCCTCAAATTTTATAGTCCTTTACGACTAATACTCTATTGTGTATAAATGCCACATTTTCTTTGTTTATTCAAATGTCGATGAACATACAGGCTGGTTTCAATATTCAGCTATTATAAATCATGCTGACATAAACATAGCTATTCATATAGTTCTGTAATATGATCAATCTTCATGTAACCTCAGTTACTAGAACAAATTAAATCCTTAATAAGTATGTTAATTTATCATTAATAGGATATTTCCTAGTCTATCCCCTTTGACCCCTTTTCCTGCTTTTTAAATATCTCAGTTTCCATTATATATTTCCATTCTGCTCTTCATAGGATTGAAATATTGATTGAAATCCACATAATGTAGATGCCCTGTTACCACTACACCTGTCTTAATTGCTTTCTCTCACTTCAATGCATCTCAATCTGATTCACTGTGCAAATTAATGACTTAAAATTTTAATTTCAGTTATTCTTTCAAGAAGTACTTATAAAGGTAGGCCTGATATCAGATCCCTATAATCCCAGTACTTGGAAGGCTAAGGCAGGAAGATTAAATTTAAGTCTATTCTGTGACCCATAGTAACATAGCAAGACCCTATAGCAAAACAAAATTATTGAAAAGCTGAACATGTAGCTCTATGTGAATACCTTGGGTTCAATTCCTAGTACAAAAAAAGTACTTACTGATTTATAATTTATGTCTAATATTTTTCTAGATTCCATAATAAATATCACAGCTAAAAAAACTGCCTTTCGGATGCAGTTGTTAAAAATACACTCAGTAGCTAAAAATATAGTAACTAAAATATAAAATATACTTGATAATAAGTGATTAATAAAATATAGATTGCAAATGCAGTAACTAAAAATAAAGATTAGACTTGATAGTAGGTGCTTTGAAAAAAATAAAATAGTAATAAGGCCATATGGAATGTTAAGAACATCAAAATGTTAAGTAGATACCATTAGAAAAATCAAAAATTTAAATAGGTGCTTCTTTAAGGTGGTTATATTTGACCATACAAAGATTATAGCATTGAGGTCCTTTGCCCTAAGCCTATTTGTAGCTTTTATTCTAATCAGAGTTCTCCACCTATTTTCAAAGTTTTTAATTTAAGTCTAGCTTATCTTCCACTGGTCCTCAACATATGGTTTTTATTTTCAAAGGAGTTTCATCATGAATTTACTGATATCATATACAGTTACATTTCTTTAATTTAGCTGGTCTCTTCCCTTTAACAACGTTACTTTGTCCTCTCTTATCTAAAGGTTAAATTTCAATACTAGCATAAAATAGTTCCTTATTTTTCCCGTTTTATAGATATCTTTAGTCATAAGATAATGTAGCTCTCGAATACATTACTATATACTTTATTGTGAATCTTTACTGTGTGCTAATCTAAATTCTAAAAGAGCAGCAAACTAGTGGATTTTATGTGCTTATGGTATCCAGCAAATATGGGAAGTACATCAAGTTAGTGTTGGATGATATAACATGTAGCTTGTTTTCCTTGTAATAAACAATCATTCAACCAATTTCTGGAAGAAGAAGGGTTAAAGTTAGGTGAAGGGAATCCATAATTTCTTGCCTCAGACACTGAAGTCAACCATGGAACATACAGCAGTGCGTTCTTACTGAAAAATTCCAAAGCCTGGCACCTTTTTGGTTTTAATAAAACTAAATATATATTTGTCAATACACTGACTGTAATTTTTAATGATATCTCTTTCTTTTGTCAGTGTGGGACAATTTGCTCAAAGTGAGCTTCAAGTTAGAAGATCAGGCAGGCACTTGCTCAAATAGCTGTCACATAACTACTATAGTCTTACAGGTGTTGGATTTTCCACAGTAATCACAGCGCGACTGAAACAGAGGGGGAGAAAGGGAGAGTGCTGGCCACAGAATCAGCCTCTGTGCACCCGAAAGAGGCAGCCCCACCGCAGGCAGCCATGTCTCCTTCCCCCTCCCCACTCTTGGGTTCTGGGCTGAAGCCTGGGACTGTCCGAGCTGATCTCGGATTTTCATTGGCCGCTGTCTTTTGTGACGTCACGATCATGATGAGAATTGATGATCGGACACGCTGATTTCATTGTCTGAGGCGGCAGTGAAGATCCAGGAAAAATCTCTGAATCTTTCTACTCCAGCATTGGCCTTGTCTGGGATCCTCAGATCCTATCTAGGATCCTGTGAACACTTCTGTGATTGCATCACTCCCGAGGTAAGGATCTAACCTGGGCGAGTGTGAAGGGCGAAGAAGGGCAGGCCAAGCACTAGCGGAGTGCTGTGTCCCGCAGGGGCCGTGCATTCTGTATACTAAAGAGCCAGCCAACAATCTGGTGCGGCTCCTGGAGAAATAACTGGCTTTACCTTTACAGGAAGAGTTAGAAGCGCAGGGAGGTTAGAAAGAAACCGAGGATAGAAATACAGTGGATGTTGCTAGAAATCATAGGGCACCGCTCCCAAAGGGTGAGTTTGGGGTCACACTTCTGGCCTGGTAGTAGGAGGAAGCGGCGTCTCCGCCACCGAAGAAAGAAGGTTGATGTCTACCACTTCCATATTATACTGGAGAGTGGGTTTCTCACACCCCTAAACACTTGGAGGGCATTGCGCCTGCGCGTTAGCCCCTCAAGGCGAGTTTAGGCAGGGAGCTTGCGCAGGCTCCCCCCTCCCCCCGTTTCGCTGAAGGGGGTGGGGCTCAGCCTTGTCTGAGTTGCATATGGGAAGATATATGGAGTTGATTTTGAGATATTTCAAGGGTCATTTGAAGTGTAGGCATCTGTCATTTACATTAAATCTGACCTACAGAATTTCCACAGCCGCAAAATTAGCCTGATGAATTTAACAATCGTGTTTTGAATCTCAAGATATTAGTTTTGAAATGACAGAATTTTGAGAACAATTTGTGGAACAGAATATTTTCAGATGAGGAACTGGAGGGGGAAAACACTAATTGTTCCAATAAATCCAATTTAGAGGTTGCAACTTCAAGGATCTCTAATTTGTAGTGACATTCCGTAATTTTGTATGGTAAACTTAGAAGAGATTCAAAATAAGCACCATGATGAAGACTTAGAAAATTTTTTTTCCTTTCCTGTCTTTTCTTCCTGGCTCTACTTAGTCTCTGTTTTACCTTTGAAGGTATTGTCTTTTCTTTCTCTTCTGTTTTTCTGCAGAACCACTGAAATCGAATTGCCTTTTGAGAGACCATATTAAATACCCCTTTGTTGAGAAGGCTTATGTTTTTCAGTAATTGTGAGGAAAAACCTCTGTGTGTCCGTGGTGGCGAAATTTTACAGTAAGTTTTTAAATTTCCCTCCACAATCTGATCATGGATTCTTATTTCATAAACTAATCTGAATTTTACCCCATTTTCATCGACATTATCTAATCTTAGCAAATTTCTTTGAAAGCCTTTTCATACAATTTTTCCCTTATGCTGCAACCTAAACTCTCATCACAGCCAGTTCAATTAATAAAGGAGCTTCCTAGCTAGCCTTCACCTCTGCTCCAAAACCTTAATTTATCTTACATGGTCTGTGAATACCTATTATTACCATTTTCTTTAATAAAAATATTTGTACTTATCTATTTTCTATTGTTTCAAATCCCACCTGGATTTCAGCAAACTTTAATCTGTCCTCATTCAGACATTTGACGTCTCTCCTCACTGGTCCCTAACGGTAACCTCCATAACTTTTCTCTTTGTACCACTATCAGTCCTTTCATCTAGAATGACTTCTAGTGATTCAGATATTACCTGTATTTGAAGCTCTGTTTAAATTATACATCTCCTTAAGTATCTTTCAATTCTAGCCCAACTGCTATTAGGTTAACTTTTCCTAGAACTCCCATATCAATTATTGCATTTGTTAATTTCTTATAACCTCACATAGCCTTTTTGCTTTGTTGTGTGTGTGTGTGTGTGTGTGTGTGTGTGCACAACTGGACTTGTCAACTGAATTTTATAACCCATATTAATGATTTGGATCATGCCATTTAATTTTTTCCATTTATTTGTCACATATCCATAGCATCTGACTTATTAATTAGAATATTTCTAACCAACTAAGTTCTTTTTCCCCTTAAAATATGTCCTTGACCATGAACTAATATTGTTATACAGAGGATTGCATACATATGAAAACATTTTAACTATGTGTCAGATAAGAGATCCACCAGTGACTTAAAAAATTGGAATGTAATCATGGACAGACATTTTGGTGATCTCTATATAATGAGTGACTTCCAAATATAATGGTCCTCGTAAACAAAACCAAGTGACTGTGATTTCAGAAGTGGTATTGCCTGTAAATTTCTTGGTTTGAAAAATACTAACTTTAGAGATTATCTGTTGTCCTTCTGATAGCATTGCATCCTGTCTGAAATCTACTAATTATTTTTTACTGTATTGTATATCTTCAATTGCTCTTTTCATTGAAGATTCTGGATAGTTTTCATTTATGTGTGTCTTGAATCACAGCTGATTAGTGTGGTAGTTGATGTAATTGTTATTGCGTAATATATTGTTTGCCACTTTCCCATCTTTTGGGATTCTCATTGCATTGTTCTACAGAGCTCAAGTTTCACTTGAATGAGAGTTTAAGCGTGGATTAATATAGGTTTCACTACAACTTCTGTTGCCCTTTAAGGCTCCATCAAATATCACATCAATGTTTATAGTTTGACAATATAGATAAAAAAGCAGCCCATAACAGTGTTATGACCTGCAAATTCAAACAATTATTGTCATAGATTATTCCAAGTAAACAATGAATGTTGTTTATTATAAGGGAGAATTCATTCTCCTTGATCTTTTCTCTTAAGACATACAAGAGATGAATCCTATTTAAATAGTTTCATCTTGTGTTCAGCTTGCATAGTAGTTACTAAGACTTTCCTAAAAATTGATAGACATAAGGCTTCAATTAGGCCAGTCTAGATAGAAAGTGATGTTTAGGCACATGTTCATTTTAGAGAGCAATAAACTACATGTATTAAGTCTGTGCTATTAAAAGGTGCTACATGGTATAGGAATGTGGTCATCACCTTGGATGTGCTTAGATACTGCAAAATCTCTAGCTCCACTTCAGACAAATGAATGGCAGTCAACATTTTAATGGGATTCCCAGTGTTTCATGTGCACATTTACATCTGAGAAGTAGTGATGCAGAGTACAGTCGGATTTCCTGAACAACCTAGACTGTAGATAAGCTTTGCTCCATTCTGGAGTCATGTTGTCTGATTGAGAGAATATGTACACCTATTTTGTAGTTAAAATTTTTAAGACTCTGGATGAATCAGTTTATTTTCTTTGATGCTAGAAATCGTCTTACCATTGAAATGATATTTGTCTTCATTACTTGATGGTCAAGGAATGCAGCAGAAGAATACAAATGTATTGTGTACACTGTCAGTAATGTCTTTTAGAGTAAACTGTTTATTTCTTGTTTGCTGCTGTGATACATTATCACAAAATCAGAGACTTAAAATGTTATAAATTTATCTTACAGTTCTGGGAAATCGGAAGTATGAAATAGGTCTCATTGAGTCATGATCAATTTGCCAGCTTGACTTTCCTTCCTGGCAGCTCTGGGGAAATAATACATTTCCTTACTTTTTATAGCTTCTAGAGGCCACCCACATTCTTTGTCTCATGGACTCCTTTCATTTTCAAAGCTATCAATGACTGGTAATTCTTCTCACATTTAAGTATCCTTTTGAATGTAATGAGGCCACTCAGAAAATCTATGATAATCTATTCCCTTTATGTCACTTGATTAGCAAACTTAATTCCAACTAAAATCTTAATTAATTTTTCCACATAATCTAACAAATTCAGGAATTAGGCATTATTCTGCCTACTACAGAGTATGATTTTATACAGTGGAGAATATTTTGGTTACATATTTCCTCACACTTGGGAGAATGGACATAAAGAAATTCAGGTTTTTTTCCTATGATTGGAATTGTGTTGAAATCTCAAATCCTACGATTTCAGAATGGAAGTTTATTTGTAAATAAAGTCATTGTAGATATAAATTATTTAAATTAAGATATCACTATTGACTAGAGTAGGTCTGTAATCCATATAACAGGTTTTCTAATAAAAGGAGAAAATTTGGATGCCAGCACACCTACTGGGAGAATGTTATGTGAAGATGTAGATGGCCATATACAAATCTGAGAAAGGACTGGAATAGATATCTTCCTCATAGTTCTCAGAAGGAATCAGTCCTACCAGCATGTTGATATGACATTGCTAGCCTTCAAAATTGTGAGACCATAAATTTATATATTTTAACGTCATCCAGTTTTTGGTACTTTGTTTCAGCATCTCTAGCAAAATAACAAAGTCAGGACTGTATTCTAGGATATCTAAGTATTATCATATTGAAAATAGCTTCCATACTAACTGTATATTCTACAATATGGTAAGTGCTAAACATTAACGTTTCAAAATAAATTGGACATTTTTTGTAAGAGTGGTTCTGAAATGTTATTTGACATTCCTGACCTTTAATTTATTCAACTCTGAAATGATAGTGTTACTTTCATTATATATAAGGGAATTCTAGCTTAAAATTCTATGCTTCTATGATTTTTATATAAAGTCCATATATTAATGAAAGATATTCAGTGAAAGTGAAGCCCTCAAAATTCTAAAAGACTTTTCTTCAGAAAACTGTCATAGCTACAATAATCCCAGCTATTCACTGTTGGCTTTCCACTAGGGAAATAAGATTACTTTTAAATAGATGGATGATTTTAAAAAATGTTCATAAATACATGTTGAATGATATCTGATGGGGTAAGAATTGAGTGTCTTAAGGCAGAGTACGTTCACGGAGTCTGAATGATAGATTTTATTGGTCTACAACTTGTTTTTGTTTCTGATTGCCTCTTTCAAAGGAAGAATGAAAGTTTTTGTTTTGGTTTTTGTGGTACTAGGGATTGAGCTCATGACCTCACGCTTGCCAGACAGGCGCTTATGCCACTGAGCTAAATCCCCGGCCCCTAGAATAAAAGGTTTTAACCATGGCTATCAAATTCTCAAACTCTATGAGCCTTTTAAGTAATTATGCATTTTTTTAGTCTAACAAAAGTATTTATGAGGGATATTTTAAAAATTTTTATTGAAAGGTATATGTGTGTGATGTTAAATAAATGTTATTTATTATTAAATGATGGTGTTTTGATATTTGTATAAATTATTGAATGGCTAAATCTAGCTTATTATATGTATTCCATCACATACCTATTGTGGTGAGAACATTTAAAAATTATTTTTGCAAGTATTCAATACACTCTTTTTAATTACAACTACTAAGCTGTAGAATAGATCTCTTTACTTCCACTTTCTAGCTAAAATTTTGTGTCCACTGATGATCCAGTCCTAGCCCTACCTAGCCAATATTCTACTGTTTGTTTCAGTGAATTTAGCTTTGTTAGATTCTACACATAATGAGGTCATGAAATAGTTTTATTTCCTGTGCCCAATTTACATCACTTAGAAAAATTCTCTCAGGGTTCATGCATTCTCTCACAAATGGTGAGATCTTTTTGTGAAATCTAAATAATCCATATTTATGTGTATATAAAGACAATGGACTATGTATGTTATATATTATATATATATATATATATATATATATATTCTTTTAACTATGCATACATCAATGGACACTTAGTTTGATTTCATCATTTTCTAGGTTACTGTGAATAATGATGCAATGAAAATGTAAGCGTGGATATCTCTTCAACATTGATTTCATTTGCTTTGGATATATACCTGGAAGTGGTATTGTTAGACCAAATGATATTTCTATTTCTAATTTAGGGGCAATCACCATACTATTTTGTAATATATATATATATATATATATATATATATATATATACTAATTTATATTTCCAATATCAGTTTATAAGAATTTCTTTTTCCTTGTAAGAATAAACTCATGCTTCCACTATTTGATTAAATTCATGTGTCTGTATGTTGTTTTTTTGCACTATATCCCTTTTGGAGGTTGTGCTTTGAAAGAATCTTCCTCTATACCTAAAGTGTAGGACATGTACTTAAACTATTTTCTCCTAGGTTTTTGTATGGTGATATAAAATCAGGTATAAGGGATATAAAAATAATTCAGATATTCACTTTGCTTCTAGGAGAAACTTTCCTTAATTATTGAAGTAAAGTGAATAAATCTGACCTAGGAGACACTACGGTGAAGAATTATGACTTCAACTATTCAAAACAAATTTCAATCAATACTGAAAAAATTTTTTGGTAGTTGG